ACCTTGAGACTTTGCTGGAAAATAATGAAAATTGCAAAAAGATGACATTGCAAATAACTAACTAAATTATTAGTTTTAACTAATGACTGTCACATCCTAAACAATATTTTATTTTTTAAGATGTTTTTAGAATTTTAGTTTTTTGAATTGCTGTATCATGATGGCTGCTTAGTTTACAGCTAGTTTTATGATGCTTTTAACGTGGTGTGGTAAATAAATAAAAACATATAGCCTACCGTAGTTACCTGCTGTCCCGCAGTCAGGGCTAATGATAGTTGAAATGCCTTTGGCCTTGACATGACATGTAGGCCTAGGTTCTGACGCTGTATTGAGTATAGTGGTGAGTTTGCTGTGGAACTCGTAGCGGCCAGTAGAGACATTCATGAAGTTTGAGTTGATTATGTTGGTTGTGGATGAATTTGTTAGAATCTTTCCATCCAAATTCCACTGAATCTCAGGGTCTCCATAGCGTCCTATTACATCACACTGGAAATCGCCATTCAAGTTGTTGGAGTTATTACAAAGACTGTAGCTCGCTGGTGAGAGATGACTCAAGTTAAAATTGTGCAATATGATACTAGGCTACTGTAAATTCATTCACCAAATACTGTTGGCATACAAAATGAAAGAATGACTTACCAGCGATGTTTAGATAAACATTTCTTTTTGTGTATTGTTCTTTGTAGTAAAAACGGCAACTGTATTCCCCCTGGTCATCTGCTGTGATGTTGGTTAGGAGAATGGAGCAGTTATTGTTGGTCTCATTCAGAAATGTTTTGCCCCTGTGCTCATATGTGCCATTGAACTTTGAAACGTTGTTGAACACCGGAATCTTGTTCGGTTGTTCCTTCTGCCACTTAAAGTCTTTGTTGAAATTTATCCCTGAGCAGTTGCATGGCAGAAGGACACTGTCTTTTAAGACTCCTGTGATAATCTCGTCATCACCTGTAGTAAAAAAAAAGGTAAATTGGGATTAGTTCAGTGTGGTGTCCAATATATGTGCATTTGACTCATAACAGTTTAAAATAGCACTGTAGCAGCAGGGCAGAGGGTCAGTGACCTCCTAAGGGGAGAGCAGTGATTGGTGGTTATGTAGGGACTGAACCCTTCTATAGAATTTGACCTCTAACCCCTTGTTTTGTTACCTCAGAATAGTACTGTACCCTTATATGGGTTGGAGCTTTATTTTGCAGACTCAAACCCCTCTATGGTTCCTAACAGATACCTACACATATCCTATATAAGCTATGTTCGATGTACAGAGAGACAGAGTGGCCATCGGGCTGGGTCACTCTCCAAGCTGCTGCAGAGCTTGAAATTGATGCTGAACTCCTTGATGTAATAAACTTTTATGATCAAGAACAGTGTCAAGCGGATTTCTTCTCAACACGTCATCGCAGTATTATTGTTCGGACACCACACCAGTTCTCAGACTCTCTTCCAAATATTAGTTTTTAATAGACATTTCTCAGCATATACACTGCAACACATTCAACTTAAAAAATGTAGGTTTCACTGCTTCCTTAAAAACCTGAGTAAACTGAACTAAGTGACTTCATGATTTGTGAAACTTATTAAACCAACTAAGTTAAGTCTGTACAAAGATTTTACATGAAGCTGCTCCCACTGACTCTCTTAAATTAGAGGTGTAGAAGGGGACTGAACTGGATAATGACTGTCGTCATGGTTAGAATTGCTTTCATTATTACCAGAAGACATGACTGTGACTTAAAGACACACAACAAGTATATTTTCTTTTAACTGCAAAAAAAAAAGTAAATTTACTCAAGTAGGCTATTTTCCTTTTGCGTATTTCCATTTTACTACTTTATACTTCGTCACTACAATTTAGAGGGTGATATTGTACTTTTTCCATTACTACATTTATTTAACAGAAATGGTGATTACTGACTTTTAGATTAAGTTTACACATTAAAACTACATCCAATAAACTAATAAAATACAACACATTGTTAAAGATTAAACCAGTGGTTTCCTTAACACATTTCAAATGTCTATGAGTTTTGAGAGAGAGCGTTTTCCCCTCTAAACTTCTCAGATGGTTTAGTTTAAATAATTGTTTATGGCCCAAAGACGTAAAATTTTCCAATGTTTCTCCAAAACTCCAAACAATGAAAACATCTTTCTAGATCAGCTTTTGCTATTATTGGATTTCTCCCATTTCACTCCTCACAACTCCTCAGATTTATCTTGTGAGGGCCCAACACCTAGTTTGGGGACCACTGGACCAAACTAGCTAACTGCATATAAAGAAGAACTAGTTCCACCCGGAAGAGCTGCAACAACCAAATGCTGCTTACACATAGATGCATCACTATTAACAATCTAATATGATTATATGTCATTATATGTCACAGTAGGACAGGTTTCAAGAAAGTGTACTTTTATTCCTGATACTTTAAGTATATTTAGCTGATGAAACCTTTACTGAAGATTTTAAATTTAGGACTTTTTTTACATTTGTATTTTTACACTGAGTGTGAGTTCTTCCTCCACTACTGGTTGGCCCTATTTCTGTAGAAACTCAATGTGATTAGTTCAAAATTCTAATTGAATAAAAAAAAATCCTGTTGTAATCCTACAACGAGGAAATTCAGTGTTACAGCAGCAGCAGGGCATAGTGTAAAAGTACAAGAAGAGTTGAGCAAACTCTTAGCAGTATATTTAGCCTATTCAACTCATTATTTCAAGTCAGAAGAAGTTGTGCTTATAAGTTCTGAAGTAGATGAAAACTAGATTAACTAAATGAATAAGACCTATTTGCACTACATTTATTATTAAAGATTCCTGATAGTTTTGTGGTGTACTTAACTCTCTGTATAACAATAACAACCCTCACCTTTTACCTCCTTACAATGTAAGTCATGTAGCACTGATTGGGCAAACGGACAAATACAAACACCCCACGGTCTACTTTAATTCTCTGATTCTATCTTTTACTTTTTGGTGCTTTTGCTAACGGCTGTTATTTCAACCCTCTCCCCTTTTCTGTATGTGTGTTAACTGCAGAAGCCCCTTATATTTACTTCCCGCGACCCTGTGCGCAGGATAAGCGGTTGACGATGGGTGGATGGATGGATATTTACATTACAATCACACAATGTTATAAACTAAATCATTCCCTTCATTCTACCAATTGCTGTGTTATTCTGACATGACCCAATCTGATAACTCTGATCCTTTCCAGTGTGATTTGTTGTTCAAACATGACCACACAACCACTCCTAGTTAGAAGTTGCAGACACTTACTTTGTTTGTCCTCTTCAAGTAGTGCATGAGGAAAGAAACCAAATGAAGGAAACAATGTGAAAACATAGACCTAAATATTGCTCCATACCTGCTGACGTCAAACAAATAAAATAGTTTGGGTTCAAACAAGGAGAAAAGGCTTTTTTGGTGTCATTTAGAAAGATTATGGACAATCTTGCTGCTTTTTCACTGAAGCCCAAACCTTGTTTTGTAGAAAACTGATAAGTATAGGGTGTATAAATACATTTAAATGACATTGATACATTTACTATATATAAAATGTCTTCAATTAGCTTTTACTCTGTAAAATGGTAATCACATGGAATAAGACTTGAAGGTATATTTATACAATCAAACCCCAGCTCATGTGGATTTAAGGCATACCACCACACAGTCACACTGATGAATTATGGATTATATTGTCTCATTTCAGTTTGATGCATGGCTCTAACAACTTTAAACAACTCAGCGGATACCGTGTTGTTAATGTGAGAACACTTTTCCCCCAACATAGTCCAAAGATGCACGAAACACAAAACATGTAGCATGAATTTAAACAATAGAATCAGGCTAATGTTACGCAGGTTTATTACCAGAGCAGCTGCTGCTTCTGTAAACAGTGTATACACATAAACAAGCCTATGTTAAAACTTATATTTATGAACCCCTGTAGCATAATTGTCAATTGATTGTTTGGAGGAATTTAATTGTTGAAGTGTTGTTAAATGTGCTTCTTCTTTGAAGGTCCTATAATTTGGCACTGAATGTCTTACAAGAGCTGAAAGAAGAAACAAATTTGCGTCATGTGGTTTCAGTAATGGGGATCTGAGATGGACTGTCATAGTAAATCTTGTCATAAAACTGAATTTAACTCCCCCACAGGCCTAAACATATAGAGACAAATAATCAATCACATAGGCATGTAGCTATAAACAGCAAATCCAACATGTCGATGACGCTAAAAATAAAAGCCAGTGTTGCAATACAGGGGAACACCAAAAGTTTCATGTAGACTTGTGTTATCAGGCCATGTATGACACATTTATCTGTGATTATTCTGCAGTAGCCTATGCTATATAAGCATTTACAATTATAGACCTTCAGAAAGATCAGAGGCAGACTCTTACTTACCTGAGACAATTAACACCATAAGCATGCTCAGGAAAGTCCGCATGTTGCGCTCCGCGGGGGGAAGAAACATAATCAATATGAGGTGTCTCGAAGAAGGACGGATTATTATAGCCAAGTAGCCTACTAATCGCTCCGTGGCGTGTTACTGTTGATTACACACAAGATCGATAGTTAAAATCACAGCCGGTGAACAGGTCAGCAAACCTGTAGGCTAGACGTCTGTCTTCATTGAGTCTTGTGAGGAAAAGTGAAACCGTGCGTGGGCAGCCGTTGGTCTAACTTTCCGGATTATCGTCATGATAAAGGGAAATTAGTGATTGCATAGTCACAGAGAAATCCGACTCCCACTGAGGACAACAGAAACTGTACCAAAGTTTAAAGTTCAGCTATGCAGAACATTTCTGACTTAGGCTATACAGACAGACATAACACAACAAAGGCTTTGTAACCTACTCAACATTATTTTATTCAGTGTTATATAGGCTTATATATTGAGTCACTGTAGGCAAGCATTTTTTGGGCGCACACACACACACACACACACACACACACACACACGCTCCTCCGCCCCCATCCAACGTCGGGAGCTAAACAGGAACAGGGAGGGATCACCGGGATCGGGATCAGAACACTTCAGCCGCCGCTACAGTCTATGGTCGACACATATCACCAGCTGCTTTAACGTTATTATTATTTTTCTAACTGAAAAATCGTGAACATAACGGGGGTGCTGGATACCGGGAGGACAGCATGGGGGAGCACACTGCGTGTTTGCTGTTACTGGTGGCGACCTTGACGCTTTCATCCGAGGTGAGTACAACGGAGAAATCTGGGCTGTGGGAGAGTGTCTCCGAGCCCGATCCCTTTCTCCACTCCCCGGCGGGCCTGTTAGCTACAGCGGGCATCGAACGCACCACAGAGCCAACCGCCGTGTCAAATCTGAATAATGACGTGAAAAAAAAATAACGGTTAAAATGTTAACGCACAGTAACGTTACTGGGTGGGTTATAACGTCCCACTGAAGGCTATGTAACAGCTACAACCGTGCGGCTACCAAAGATAACATTATTAACGGGGCCCTCTCATTGTTTGATCCAATACATTTGTTTTCCCGGACAGTTTTGAACATCTTGTTGTGTGAGAGATATGCCAGGTAGCCTTTACAGTTTACACAGATTTAATGCGTAGAATTAGCAAACCAAATAATGTCAGCAATGCTACCAAGGCCTGCCGTTAGATGTCAGTGATTGACAGCTTGACCCTGCCATGTTGGACATGTTTTGGTTTGTCTTGGGGAGATATTTTTACGCAGCTCTATATAAATATTCTGTTAAAGTAGTTAACGTTAGTCCTTTTATTGCTGACTATAGCGAAGTAGTGCAGTGAACGGGATCTAGCGAGCTAACGTTAGCGTTAGCTATAGCTTTATTAGTCCATAATTACATGGATTGGCTTGGCAACTGCTACAGCCTAACATAACGTCGTATGCGTCAGTTTGCTCCGTTTAAAATCTTTCAAAGTACAGTCACCCGCTGTATCTGATACGTACAACACGAGCAGTTAAGCGTTGGCGTGAATAACCTAGGCCCTTTGATACCCACGGATGTTTTTAGCAATGGTGATGTGTAGTGTTAGTTGGTGCTCCTGCGTCGACCTGGCCCGCTTGGTCCAGTCCAGCAGCCTTGTTGTTGCAGCTGCAGGGTGGTGATATTGCTGAGGAGAATGGAAAAAGGATGCAGCCTTTTTTTAGTTTGACACAAGCAAGATGGCGCCTACAGCTTGCTGCTGTGCTGGACCAGAGAGAAATACTCAGCTTAGGACCAGCTAGAAATAGAACCTGCATTGTAATCAGTCTATGATTGTAATATGCAAATCGTAAGTGATATATTATACTGCTGGTTTGTTCATTAACATGCTGTATTTAGGAGCGCACATAACTAACAAAACACCCATTATAGTTTTCAAACCAAACCCCTGCGAGCTGCAGTGAAACATGTCTATACAGAAGTATGATGCAGGACATTAATGTGATGTAGCATTCAAGACTTTTCACAGGAATATCACCACATGCCATGGCTGTGATTGTCCTGAGATGCTATAGCTCTACTATTTGAGTGGGACTTTTGTAGCATCTTATGTTTCCATGTTTGCATAGAGTTTTTTATTATACTTTTATTTAACCAGAAGAAACTAATTGAGATTAAAAATTTATACAAGGTTGCAGACATCAGAACATAATAACAAAAACATTAAAAACATATAGCAATTTACAGTGGGAATAAATAGTAAGTTACTAGGTCATTAAACATAAAAATTTCTTAAATATTCACCACAAATAATCAACAAGGATCATCCAAGTAATCAATCACAACATCTACAGCCAGACTTGCCAGCCTCCGAGTCATTTAATAGTACTTTATAAGCAACCAGTGAAACCATATAATATACAGTATACAGGAAGTTGATTCCAAGCCAAGGGGGCAGCATACTTAAATGACCCCTTTTCCAAATTCAGTCCAGACTTGAGAGACAGATAGTAGTGATAAGTCCTCAGAACGAAGACAGTTTCTTCCCTGGTTCAAAATTATATGTGTGGTGAGATTTGTTTTGTAGCTTAGCCATTGTGTTTGCTGTGTATTTTCTGTGCTGCATGTTGTTCAGGCTCCAGGCTTGAGTCACGATAAAAGGAGTCACACAGGCCCTGCAGCAGCAATGCCTAGATGTGAAAACCTGTCTGCACTGTCAAGGCCTACTGCCACACTCCCAAGGCCTACTGCCACACTCCCCTATAGTCAAACAGGAGTGTTTTTGAGCTTTGGTCAGACTGGTTATCTCAGTGTAACCCTACACCAATAAACACATGAACAAGGAACTAGATTTGAAGGACTTTAGCCAGTGATATGTGGAGTGAACAACTGCACACGGACTGATAGACTCAGACTTTATTTGAAGAACAAGTTGGTAGGTGTTAGGACCACTGCTCTTGACTGATTCCACCCATCACACATTTTATATATTCTGTAGCCTGTAATTCTTATAAACATTTCTTTAACAATCCCTGAGTTGGTTCACGCACTGACTGCTTACTCCTGCAGTTGGTATTTTTCTATTGTACTGTTTTGGTTCGAACAGAATGAAAAAGATGGAAATGCCATATGATGCAAGGCACTCAAATAAAATAAATTAATTTGACATTTAAATAAATTATGGATAACATTATGCAACGGGTTGATAAGGTGATCTATCTCGTCCTGACTCCCAGGAGGCTACTGTTACGCAGATATTCACAGGCAAACATAGCATTTAGTCAGAATTAGTCATTTAAAGATTGGCAGCAGATGGCTTGGTGGCTAAGAGTATTGTCAGCTTGCAGCATCAGTCTTTTTTGATATCTGCCAGAAAAATAGAAGGCCCAGAAGGCGAGACACACCAAGACATCCTCCAATTGTTTCCCCAAATACAAAGGAAGGAAAAACTGTAAGTGCTGATGGCTATGTCCAATGGAAAGTAGAATGCCAACACCAGTTCAGTTGAAAGAAGAGGTTGTTTGCACCTCATATTCACTCCCAGCTGGATTTTAGTATCCTGTGGTTCACTAAGTTTTTCTACTCATTGCTATAATGTGGTCTTCCCGACACTCTCATTGCACTTTCTCTAATGTTGGAAATGAATAAAACGTCATAAGACAAGCGAACAAAGGGCACATGTGCGGCCCCGTGCCTGTAATGCTTAGCTCTCTGGCTTATGGGCTCAGAGGGATGAAACGGAGTGTCTTTCCCTGCTTAGGCATAAAGTAGTAGTCATATAATAACTTGTAGTGGTATGGAGTAATTTAAAGAGGCATTTATCCTTGTGATTCACTAATCCCGGTACAGTATACAGAGACAGATGTATTTGAAATGAAGCAGAATAAACTGAGAGGGGCTAAATACCCATAAGCTGCAGGAGATATTTATGGTTAAGCTATACTTAAGCAAGTTTGGTCCAATTAATCTTTGCTGTTCTGTCTTTAACCTTGTCTGTCCAGGTGCCTGCTGATGACTCTGTGGGTTTGCTAAATGAGCCGGCGGTGGCCATGTTCTGTGGGAAGCTCAACATGCACATCAATGTGCAGAGTGGCAAATGGGAGTCTGACCCCTCTGGCACTAAAAGCTGCATCGGCACCAAGGAGGGCATCCTGCAGTACTGTCAAGAGGTATTTAAACAGAGTGAGACAGCAATGCAGAGACAGAGAAACAGACAGGGACGGAGGGACAGCAAGTACACATGAAGGCAGATAACATAGAAAGAAAGAACATAAAAATCTCTCTCCTTTCTTCAGGTGTACCCAGAGTTACAGATCACAAATGTTGTGGAGGCCAACCAGCCCGTCAGCATCCAGAACTGGTGCAAGAAAGGCCGCAAGCAATGCCGCAGTCAAACACACATCGTGGTGCCGTACCGCTGTCTGGGTAAACAGTTTTAATCACCCAGGTGCATGTTACTAAGTTTGTTTGCGTGTGTGGATATGCTGAATACTTTTAATGAGGGAAGGCATGTTTATGTTGCAGTTGGGGAGTTTGTGAGCGACGCCCTGCTCGTTCCTGACAAGTGCAGGTTCCTGCACCAGGAGCGCATGGACCAGTGTGAGAGCCACCTGCACTGGCACACGGTAGCGAAAGAGGTGAGGACAGACAATAACACAACATTCAGCGTCACTGCATGAACTTAATATATCGTATATTGTGCTTCCAAAATCATTATATCTGGTGGTGGCTTTTTTTCTACTTCTTCCTTTTCTGTCTGGTCCTCTGTAGGATGACTCAGCACTCCTTAATTTCACCTCACCCCTGCTGTCAACTTTCTTTGCCACTTTCTTCTGATTTGTGTGCCTTTTATTCTCGTTCCTTTCCGATTGTTCATTAATGTACTGTCACCCACGAAGATAATTAACTGTCAAACATTGATTTTGTTAAACTTATGTTAATAAATAATAAATAATCTGTGCATCAATGCAGTGGGTCCACAGTCCCCAAGGGTTACTACAATATGCTCTTATGGGCCATATCCTTATAAAACGATTGAATGTTGTCTGGTTTCATTTTGGTTGTTTATACACGGGTGTTAAAAGCCATTTAGGCACTGCAGGAAGTTATGATTAATGTCTGTTATTAAAATTAGTCCTGCGGAGACCGCTCCATGAATCTTCACGACTACGGGATGCTGTTGCCATGTGGAATCGACCGTTTCCGAGGCGTGGAGTTTGTCTGCTGCCCGGCTGAGGCGGAGCAAGATGCGGATAGCACAGAGCTAGAAGGGGAGGAGTCAGACGTCTGGTGGGGCGGGGCTGAGACCGATTACTCCGATAACGGGTATCGTCACGCGCACACATTCATCGCTGTTTGTCCAGTCTGATGTACGCGCACGTTGATATGTAGACTGAACCAACCGCTCTCCCCGCAGCATGTCGCGCCCGGCAGACACAGAGCCCGCCGCTGCGCAGGACGATGAAGACGCGGACGAAGAGGCGGACGAAGAGGCGGACGCTTTTGAACGGGATGAGAACGGAGATGGCGATGAAGATGACGAAGGGGAGGAAGATGAAGACGTTAACGATGAACGGGATAGCGATGAGCGCAACGCTAACGTCGCCATGACAACCACCACCACCACCACCACTGAATCAGTTGAGGAAGTCGTTCGAGGTAAGAAATCGACACACAGATTTAGTGTCGTCTGATGTTTTGTTGTTTATGTTAATGTAACTTTTATGTTTTCCATGAAATTCAGAAGCGCTCGTTTTGCATTCCTTTTAATTCGAAATGTCGTTTGCGTTTGCCTGTGTGTACATGTCTCAGCCGTTTGTTGGGCTCGTGCTGAGTCAGGCCCGTGTCATGCCATGCTGGAGCGTTGGTTCTTCATACCTGAGAAGGGCCGCTGTGCTCCCTTCTTGTTTGGGGGCTGTGGGGGCAACAGGAATAACTTTGAGTCGGAGGAGTACTGCCTAGCTGTGTGCAGCAGCTCGCGTAAGTCCCAGGGTTGGAGCCGTCTAAACCCTGAAGCGTCCATGAGCCTGGTTTCTGTCCTCAGGCTGCTGCAGATTGTCTCTCTGTCTTATTCTCTTTCTCTGTCTCTCCCTGTCCTGAGCGTCTGATGGCTCTTAACCACTCGGAGCACTGACAAGTGGATCTTGTTTTGAGTATTCTGTGATTATTTCTCTGCAACATTAAAACACATTTTTGATTGGAAAGGAAAAGTAGTGAGGACGAGAAAGATGGAAGGCCATGAAATCACTCATCTCCCTGGAGCAACATGATTATGTTTGTGTATGTTTCATGGAAAGCAAAGAAAATGTCTTCAAATTTGTGGAAAAGATAAAGCACACTGGTAGTCCTTGGCTTAAGCAATAATGCTGATGATTTTCCATGTTTGTCTTATTATATTTTATTCTTGGGGTGTACCCCACCTGGGGTGTACCCCACCTTTCCCCCAATGTCAGCTGGGATTGGCTCCAGCCCCCGCAACCCTGTATGCAGGATAAGCGGTTGACGATGGATGGATACTTAAACAGGAGTAAATAGTGTCTTTTGCGATTAACACACATTTGGTTCTGTAGTTAGCATTTGCAACAACCAGTATGATCAATGTGGGATATACTTAAAAACTAAACCACAGCGCCCATGTTCATCAGACAGAAGGAACATGTCACACAGTACAACAGTGTAGCACAATGATGTGTTTTTTAAATGTTTTTTGGCAAAGAGGAATAAGCTACACTTACAGTATGATCATCGATGGTGTTGGTCTTTTCTTGGGGTTTGTTGACAGTAAGATGAATACAGATAATCACCACCTGTATCCTTTGAGAAGCTTCGAGACCAGCCGTTTTACCATCAACAGAGTCAGTAGTTGAACTGATGACGTTTGAACGTTGTAGTGAAAGAAAGATTAAAAGAAAAAATGTAAAGACAAATAGATCAGGCGAGTGTCCCTGTTGGAGAGCAGCCATGACGCTCTAGTAGTCACTGACTTCAAAACAATTCTGTTACTCATTTCTAACCAGTAACACTAACTGATACTTCTTACAGCATGTGGACGAGGCAGCGTAAATACTGAACCTTGACTCTCAGTGTGCGTTTGCATGCATGTCTGTACACACGTGTGTTTGCATGCCTTGCAGTCGTGAGGTCTTGTGCCTGATGCTGTTGCTGCAGCTCTGTAGTGGTCTGACCTGGCAGCTGTTGGACTGCGTGTTGAAGTGTTGTGATGTATGTATGTGAATGGGGGAGGGGCGTTGTTAAAGGTCAGTGGGTTGATTTGCCGTTTCCACTCAGTAAAGCGTCACACTCCTCAGTGGTGCGGCCTCTGCCCTTATCCTGGCTCGGCACTTTCCATCTTATCTCCAGGCCCCCACATTAAATGAAGACACCTGCACGACACTTGTACTGGGAAATTAATCGCCCTTTGTCCCCTGATAACCTGTGTGTCTTTTATACCATTATTTGTGTTTATATTACAATTATTCCTAACATATTGTATGTTTTTAACACACTTGTTCTTCTTGTCTTTTCATTGAAAACTGCTGTTTATGTGTGTGTTGAGCCGAAATACTGAAACTACTACTGTTTAATGTTAGGAATCTAAGGAAAGCATTATGGGTTTCAGACACCTTCATTTACCTTACATGCATCCTCCCCTGCACTCTATATATTTAATACCTCCAGTGCCCACCATGGCCCCCAGTCCTCCAGATGCCATGGATCGGTACCTTGAATCACCTGGGGACGTCAGCGAACACTCTGATTTCCAGAAGGCCAAGGAAAGCCTCGAGGCCAAACACCGCGAAAGAATGTCTCAGGTACGTTTGCATGTCAGGGGTTAACATTTCTCCCTCTTAAGGTGTCCAAATGTCTCATCTGTCATGACAAAGCCTGCATTTGTCATTATGTAATGGTTGCTTTTGTCCCTGACGTGATACTCTTCATGTCCAGGTGATGAGGGAGTGGGAAGAGGCTGAGCGGCAGGCCAAGAGCCTTCCTCGTGCTGACAAGAAAGCTGTCATCCAGGTAGGATACTCACCACCACATCTTATATATTGGTGTAGATCTTTTTACCATCATTTGTAAATGTCAAAGTTGTTTGTTATGACGATATTTGTGTTCCATTAACTTCGCCAAAATTACTGAAAAGTCAGTGTATGACCAAACCAATCCTTCAGATTTAATGGGATTGTGACTGTGAATATGGAGCGATACGGAGCTGTAGTTAATTATGCAGCGGTAGAGGACTATTAATCTTCACCCATGCCTCCTTCACCTGTCAACAGTGGCATGTTGTGCTTCGGATTCCTTTGCCAACTTGCTCTGCTGGCTGATATAACCCACAAGATTTGATTGGATACATTTATGTATGTAGATGAGTCATCAAAAATATGTTAACATTTTACAGGCCGAGAAAATAGTGATTTTAAAAATAAAAACAAATGTATATTTGACATGCATTAAAATAATTTAACTATGAACACAAGGGTTGGGCGTCTATCGGCGATGGCTGACAGACATCACGACATTGAGCCGGCACCGTGATTGTAAAATCTCAAATTTTCACATTATACCACCCTGTGAAATCCCTTATCACGGCAGCAGCTGAGCCGCACGTTGGCTTATTTAATGACGTAGCCTATCAAACAACTGAAAACAGCATCCGTACCCTGTGTGGTCACTGTTGCTTTACCTGGTCCGTGCGTAAAATATCCACCGCGACTTGTAACGTAAGTTAATAGTCTACCATTTTTTTTACCGAGTGAAGTCTGTGCGAGAACACATGCACATAAGACGACTGCACATAAGACCCCCGCGCACCCAATGACATCGTCCATCCCAATGTTTCATTGTAGTATGTTTCATTAATTTTGTCAACATTGCCCAACCCTATTGATAATCACACACGGATATGATACTGGGCAATTAAACAATAATGATAATTATCGCAATATAAATTTCCTTAATAACAATATAACAAATGTTCAGTATATCGTCAATAAATGTTTGATTAAATTCATTTGAATCACGAACAAATAAACACCTAATTTTTCTAAGATATTTTAATTTTATTTAGGAAAAGGGACTGAAAAAAGATTTACTAATCACATTTTTTGAATTAAGATTTATCATAATTGTTTTGAATGTTCTGACTCAGATTTGTGAAGTGATCCACTGTTTGGCATTAAGTGTTTATTCTGACCATCTGTTTTTTTTTTTTTTTTTTTCACTCAGGAGCAAAAATCAGCCTTTAAACTTGAAAGAAATAATGATTTGACATTTAATTATTGATATCGAATGATATGACATTTGTTTATTGTGATAACATTTTGGCCATATCGCCCAGCCCTACTATGAAAGAAAACCTGTTTTTTCACTTTTGATTGCATTTTAAAATATAAAGATGTAAAGTAATTCCTTTTATGTCAGAACATGTGCAACTTCAGATAGGAAATGTTAACCTGATTTTAAAGCAAAACAAAAAAGAAACGTGACACAAACGTGATTTTAGCCGCATGATTGCTGGGTGCAGCACAGTGTTTGGTGTTTGGTGAAGCACCCTTTTAAAAACTATACAATAACTGCTTGTATTAATAATCAGATATATAGTGAAAATGTCATTGTGCCATCTCCTGCATGTAAAATGTACCATATTTGCAGCACTTCCAGGAGAAGGTGGAGGCTCTGGAGCAGGAGGCAGCAGGAGAGAGGCAGCAGCTGGTGGAGACCCACATGGCCCGGGTGGAAGCTCTGCTAAACAGCCGCCGACGCCTGGCTCTGGAAAATTACCTGAGTGCTCTACAGGCCAACCCTCCACGAGTACACACACACACACACACACGTACCACACACTCCTCTGCACTGGCAAGAACTATAAAGAGATTTACATAAAATAAAAACAAGTGTAAAACTCTTACTAACACCACACAACACTGTTACCTTCAGGCTCGTCAGGTGTTGAGCCTACTGAAGAAGTATGTCCGTGCAGAGCAGAAGGACAGGCAGCACACGCTGAAACATTATGAGCATGTCCGCACAGTTGATCCCAAGAAGGCTGCACAGATCCGACCTCAGGTACTGTACCTCACACATATACAGTCAGAACCCTTTAATGTGATGAAAATATTTTAAATTCTTGCAATGGTAAATTCTTAGCATGGCCTAAAATCAAATTCTGTGTTAGGATTAGGATTTCAAAATTTGACTGGAGCTTCTTCCCCATCTTGTTCGCTTCAGGTTTTGACCCACCTACGTGTGATTGATGAGAGGACAAATCAGTCATTGGGTCTGCTCTACAAAGTGCCAAGTGTGGCGAATGAGATCCACAGCCAAGTCTGTAAGTGTCATACTTCTTACTAACTGAATGAACAACTTGTTATTCATCTTCATCGTGAGTCATGGTATGAGAATTTATCATTTTGTATCTTTAATGCTATTAAACATTACAGTATCATAAAAATACTTTTTAAAAATCATTATTAATCATTATAAGTAAGCATTTCTTGTATGCAAATAACTACATCCCAGTCAGCAATAAACTATAAAAATTTTTTCGACATGTTTGAATGTTTTCCCCTAAATTCTAGATAGATGAAATTGTGTGAGGGCTAAAACAAATGCTCTGCCTCTCAAATGTGAATATTTCTGATGTTCTTTGTCTGTTATGATAGTAAACTGAATATCTTTTGGTTTTGGACCGTTGGTCCTGACAAATTCAGACATTTTAAGATGGGGAATTGTAATTGTGACATTTTAAATGAAATGAATAGTGGGAAAATAATCAGCAGATTAAGCGATAATAGGAATAATCGGTATTAGCAGCTCATGTCAGTATGCTAAGAACATGTACTGGCAGAGTCATGCTGTAATTTAGTGTAGGAGTGTCAGATCAGTCTGTGATCTGTTCATGTTAAAGAGAGATGAGTTTCATGTTAATAATGTGACACTATACTATACAGACTTAATAAAGTAGTGTGGAGGAAGACGAGTTTAACAGCTCGTGTGCTGATAAAACAGCATCTCTACTGTTAGTGTTCAGTAATCAGGACACTGTATATGGACTTCACCTGGCAGCTCACTCCCTCCATTTCTCCCCACCATCTATCATCATGCTGTGGCTCGCTCACCGTCTCTTTCTCCTCATTCTTCCTAGCTGTTATCATGCAGAGAGTTCAGGCGGAGCTGTCTCAGCAAGTCTCTTCCCTGCAGAGCGATGGGCGGGTGAGTCGAGTTTCACCCACTCACATATGCATGGAGTCTGTCCTGTATAAACTCTCGCATGTATAAATAGAATTCACCCTGTGTTGTACAGTGATGCAAGGCAAAGTTGAACACAACACAGCCATGCACAGAAACAGACTTAGATGCAGTCTTAGTGGATTTAATGCAGAAAGAGCACATAAAATACCAAAAGGGCAGGCTTTTTATCGCTCAGCTGGCCACAGATAGCGGTGATTGGGTAAAGTGAATGAGCAGATGTTGAGAAATCAAACTGATTCATCTGAAAAAATATTATTTCCCAGGAGGATACTGTATCTGGCAAAAAAATATATATATTCAGTTGTAGAGACAGATTTGTAGCAATTTGTAGTGTCTTGTGCACATAATAAGTCCTGTGGGTGACGTTCCCTTTTTACCAGATAATCATCAGGAATGGATTACGTTTTGAAAGAAAAGCCTCTCTGATTGTCCCACGCTGACATGTCCAGATTAATATTCCTCTGTGTTTGCAGGTGGATGGCAGGGTGAGTTACGGTAATGACGCTCTGATGCCTGATCAGGCCTACAGCTCTGCTCCTATGGACCCTGGCCTGGAGGGACTGGGCTTCATCCACCCTGAAAGCTTCAACCAGCCCAACACAGAGAACCACGGTAAACACACACGATAGTATAGCATAGTATAGACAAAGATGATGGTTTCAATATCATAAAATGAGACCCTCACCAATAAAATGATTGCAGAAATTAAAACTTACTCCTAAACTAGTATTAACACTTAGACAATTGGAACAACAACAAAATATATATATTCTTTATATAATTGGGCTGTCCCCGACTAAGGATTTACATAGTCGAATCAGAATCGTCAAGTCCTGCCTATAGTTGACTGATCATCATGTGTGTTTTTGTGCACAGCGATTGCAAGGGGCGTGGGTAACACATGGTGGCTCCGCTTTAATCTTGAGAAGCTGCAGAGCTGCAGTCTCTATTCATTCAACTTACACTGTAAATTTCCAGCTAAACTGACGCTTATTGTTGACTCTCTCTCTCTCTCTCTCTCTCTCTCTCTCTCTCTCTCTCTCTCTCTCTCTCTCTCTCTCTCTCTCTCTCTCTCTCTCTCTCTCTCTCTCTCTCTCACCTGCCATTCACCGGTCTTGTGCAGAGTTTAGCGTGCATGCAGTTGTAGCCAGCACGGTTCCTCGCGGGTCTATTTCAAGTAGGCGGCTATTTAAAAACAATAAAATATTATAGAAGATATTTGTGTGGTTCATCAATGGTGATAAATTATCCGAAAGTCTCGCGAGGTGCGGACAACTCAGCACAACACCGGTGAACCGGGTGCTCCGTCTCTTCAGCAAGTTTTCCTGCACTGCCACTACACATACACTCTATGCAAACACATGCACACTGACGACCCAGGGTAAGGGTTAAAATTTTGGAGGAATTCAGGCACTTTAAAAAATATTTTTTGAAAGTTTTTTTCTTTTACATGCTCATTTACAGCATTAAACATTGAAATGTGTATTGTAATAGGTTGTATATTAACTTATTAGAAAAAACTGGTAGTTCTATGTAAAATGAGACCTTGAGCACCCCCATATCGCCAAAATGGTATGATCCTCGTTTCACTGTGAAGCTTCGACTGTGAGATCCAGTCGAATCAGGCTCCGCCCATCGAAGCATCGAATCTTCGACTAGTGGTCAGCCCTAGTATATAATAATATTTTCTATATGATTTGTTTCTGCAGTTGAGCCTGTTGATGCTCGTCCACTTCCTGATAGAGGACTCCCCACACGACCTGGTGAGTGTGTGTTTGTGTGTATTTTTGTGTGTATTTGTATGTCACACAGGACTGGGCGATGTAATCAATATTACCTTTGATCGTGTCTGCATATAATTATTTAATAACATAATCCTTCATACATGGACGTTAAACATGTACCACCATCTGTCATCGCACGAGATCTTAAAGGTGCCCTTTTTAAATTAAGCTTATTTAATCGTAAATCATTTAAAATCCTGCATTGTTTACACAGTGTTTTGAATGCTAGCAGTCTTCTTCACTTGCTGCGCATTACAGCCAGTCCGCCAACAACTGTTGATTAGCAGAATAGTGTGAAACGATCAAGAAAGCGGATCGGTGGATTTAGGGCGTACTCACACTTAGCCTTGCCTTGTACTGTGCCCGAGCACGATTGTGCCCCCTCCCCACTCTCTGGCCTGCGCTCACACTGCGCCTAACAATCCGAGCTGGAGCACGTTTACGTCATAACTCAGTCAGTGTTTCCCATACATTGATTTGTTTGTGGCAGCCCGCCACAGTATCAATGCCACTTATTGATATATGATTTTTTTTTAGTAGTCCTTTTTAAAATCGTAGTTGATTGCAGAGTGCTGCGCATATATTTGCCTAGTGTGAGTTCACCCTTAATGCAGAAAGGGCACAAAAAAATACCAAAGGCCAGACTTTTAATCGCTCAGCTGATCATCCCTTTCTGCTTTTTAATTTTGTTTAATTAGCACGTGATACAAATTGCTATTTCACTACTAGAAGTATTTTATACATGTCTCCTCTTGTATCAGTGTCTGCCATGCAGCCAGAGGAGATGCCAGAAGTGCGAAAGGAGACTGAAGAGAGGCAAAGTGCTGGCTATGAAGTTTACCATGAAAAACTGGTATGAAAAATCAATCAACACTGCACACACCATCGTGTCATTTATTCAGGTCCTGTAGTGGTCTGTGCTTTGTGCACACAAATAGCTTTGGGTTGTTTTCTTTTAATGGTAGGTGTTTTTCGCTAAGGATGTGGGGTCCAATAAAGGCGCCATTATCGGACTTATGGTTGGAGGGGTTGTCATAGCAACTGTCATCGTCATTACCTTGGTGATGCTGAGGAAGAAACAATATACTTCGATTCATCACGGTGTAATTGAGGTAAAGAAAGTCCTTTGTGGATCGGTGGTTTTGTGTGAAATGCAGTACAGAAATTCATGTTTCTATCTGTTTGTCTAGATTTGAAAACATGTTTTTCTTTCACTAAACCCCTTTTATCTGTTAAAGGTGGATGCAGCAGTGACACCAGAGGAGCGTCATCTGGCCAAGATGCAGCAGAACGGCTACGAGAATCCCACCTACAAATTCTTTGAGCAGATGCAGAACTAAAGAACTGCTTCTTCAGGCGTATCCCAAACCTAAACTCACCCTTGAAGGGTCTGTTCCATTCATCCCTTGCCCTCAGCCCCTGCACCTTCAGTTTCTCACCCTGTTAAGAGGCTGATTTTCATCAAGCTTGAAAAGTTAGGAAAAGACCAGTTTATGTCTCAGTCCGGGGGGTTAGGGCCAAAGGACATGGAACAAAGCCTTCTTATTGCCTGATCCCTTGATTGTACAGAGCAACATTTGAGCTTAGATTTACCTGCAATTGGTCAGACAAGGGTTCCCTGTTTCAAATGCACATTTCAGCAAATCAAAACAAAAACTCCATAGTGTTTGTACTGAACGCCCTGTTGATGATTTATATGAAATCACCGCAGTACTGCACTCACAGCTGAGTCCAGAAACATGTAAACCCAAGATTAATTTAAGTTGAATTCCCTGTCACTCGCTCATCGCTCCAACTGTTCCATCTCCCGCAGACCACTCGTCCCCGCTCTCCAATAACAGCCGGGCTGTGTTTGATGACATAACAGCTCTCCAAGTAAAGCCCAAGTGTTTCAGGTTTGTTTTCCAAAAAAGGAGGAAAAACATGAAAAAATTATACATATTCAAAATATGTATACATTGGAAAAATACTGAATGTTTTGTTTTTGGATTTTTATTTTTATTTTTTTTAATGTGTAATATATAAAGACAGCTGTAAGTATATGTAGTGCATGGCAATATTGATGACAGATACAGTATACTTTATGGTGAGGTCCTCTGGAGCGGTCCTCTTACTAGATATTTTAGCAGGATTGTACATTTCTAGTGTCTTCTTTGTGATCTCGTGATATGAAGAAGAAAAAGAGTATTCAGAATCTGGTCTGCTTTGTCGTCACACAGACTTGCTTTAACTGAATCTTGGCTCGTTTTGCTCATCTCCATGCTTCACTGTTGTGTTAGCTGCATGGGCGAAATGCTCTGTATGTCATATATGAAGTGTAATAGTATCCGAAAGGAAGGCGATTTTTGTTACTGTTTGCGTTCTATGCACTCTGTCTTGGAAGTCTGATTATTATCACCAAATATTATTGCTGTTAACTCACACTGCACATTGGGTTTTTATTAGAATGAAGATATAGGTCAAACTTTAGTAGGGAGGTTTTCTGAAAATATATCATTCCAGATTTATCATTCCAACGTCTCTCTTGATTGTAAATATTTGGAAGATAGAGATCCGGCTTTCAGTGGCCAAGTTTCTTTGTCAAGCTTGACCCCCCTTTCATGTGTTATTCAGTGTGTCTTTCTGACCCCATTTGTCCTGTTTATCCTCTTTCTGGATGTGTCAGCAATATTGTACAGTGCAACACTTCTATTTGATAAAAAAAAGACAGCACTTGTTGGGCCTACAGAGATCAAAAGTTTTCTAGATGGTCCCCATCTCCTCTTCACACACATTTCCTTCACCAAATCTCACAAACACATTCTATTTTTCTACATTTCCTGTGTATACATGTACAGTGCTTCTGTTCCTGTGCTGGGTATTTCTTTGTCTGCGTATCTGTTAATAGTCCTCATGAAGAGGTGAAGACTTTACCATCAGCACCGGGAGGATGACCGCAACTCACATCAGCATAGAGACACATTTCCCTCTCCTTTAATTAAGTTATTAACGCCACCTCCAGTAAACATGAATGTGACATGCGTATTGTGCATTTATACCGTAGAGATACAACACATATCACATCTCCGCACATGTACACACCAACTGAAGCGCTTAATCAGGTGAATGTTTGTATTGATGCTCACTGTGAGTGTCTTTGGAGACTAGTGTTCTAGAAAAAACAAAGATGCTTTCTTCTCATTGATTCTGTGACCTTCCTCTGTGTAGTTAAATGGACCATTTGCTTAGAGTAAGAAAAAAAGCTTTCTACACCCACTATACCATTAATAAAATTTTGAATGTAACTTTCTGGCTGTTTGTCATTTTGAATCTCTTGCTATGATTTATACAGTGTAGAAAATATAAATATTTACATTTCAAAGCTCCTGGCTAAAATGACTGAATCACAAACATTATGAAAAATGCTTGCCACTTTATTCCCCCTGGTGGACAGAAAAGGGTCCAACAATTTAGGGAACAAACACTAGATAAAATACAAAACAGGGCCTCTATAAATGGAAAATATGAAAATACACTTGTCCTTGTGGCTATCAAAAACATGAAGTACCGGTATATACAGTGGAAATTCTTCTAAACTACAGACAAGGAACATTACACAAAGCTCATAAATTTTCAGTCGCACATTCAAGCATTCAGTCACATGCACACAAATGTATTTCCTCGCTCAGACACTCCCCCCGTCATCCTGAACATGCTGCTTCTCTTGGTTTGAGTTAAAGAAAAGCTTAAAAAAAGAAGAAAAAAAAAGAAGAAAAAAAAAAACTTCAATCAAACTGTAAAGACAATAACAAAGTTGTTAATCCACAATGATCAGCGATCAGCCTTGCATTTCTGTGCCTAAAGAACACAGTGTCAAAAAAAAGAAAAATATAGAATAAGAAAGTTGATTTGATTTCCAATCACTGGTGGAGAGCAAAGTCTGCCTGCAGCAGCTGGAGAGCGCTGTGATGCGGCCTTCAGCTGTCTTTGTCTAGTGTTGTGGTGGCCAGGGTCACAGTAGTGATGGGCTGACCGATGCCGTGCATTTGCATGCGAGCCAGTTTCTTCTGTTCACACTCTGTCACCAGGTTGTTGAGTTCAGCGGCACTATAACCAATCAGAGTTCTCAGGTCGCACACAAACTTGTAGACGAAGCGCTTGCCCTGCACCTTGCTGATCATGTCCCCGTCGTAGTAATACCTGAAGAGGACAAGTCAGAATCTCACTACACAAAGACAACGTAAAATCACGTGACACAAAGCATGTCATGTTTCCAAAACCACCATGATAATATTAATAACTACAGTGATATTCAACCAGCCAACTTGTCATGTTAGGTACAGTCAGTGAAAACAGTTGTATAATGTCTTTTGTGGCCCTGATGGAGCTTCACTATGAACTCCATTTGTGCTTGAGATTTTACATTTTTTAACAGTTTGTTTGAAAGCAGTGGAGTTGAAAGGAAAATGCTGTTGCGTTGCATTGGAAAAGTAGGATCCAGTGTTTCTACAGGGACTAAAAGTCAGGACATGTCTGTCTCTGCTGAACTGACTTTTTAAATCTGTCTCTCCAACTTAATGGTAGTGTAATATAAAGTGAATAAAGAACCCCTTAAAAACAAACCTAAGGGCTCTGCTGAGTTTCTCGTAGTTCATTGTAGGCTTGTTCTTGCGCTGGCCCCATTTTTGCGCCACAAGCTCTGGCTGGTTGAGTTTGAACTCGCCCTCTTCACCCACCCAGGAGATGCAGTCTCTTGCATCCTTATCTGTCAGCAGCTCTAGCAGGAACTGCCACAGCTGGATCTGACCGTTGTTGCCTAGAACCAGAGACATAGCATTCAGTGTAAAATGTTATAAATGGTCATAAAATGACCATAAATGAATGATTTACATAAAATAATAGAAAAATAATAGTTGCATTTGCTTTCAAAAACACAGCACCACAACACTAGGAATGTGAAGCGCTTGGAGTAAGGCTGCAAGAGACAATTACTACCATTTGTTATTGATTAATCTGACAATTATTTTCGATCGTTTGCTCTATAAAATGTCAGAAAATTCGAAAGCCCAAGAAGACGTCTTCAAACTGCTTATTCTAGAGTACCTTATTATCACATAACAAAGAAAATCAGCGCATCTGAGATGCTTTTGGAAGCAAATTGATGGAAACAATTAAATAACAAAATAGTTGCTACTGTAGATGAATGCAGATTCACTAATCGATTAATGGATAAGTTGTTACAGCCTTGAGCTCTGCCTATTTTCACATCTGTACACACTTGGCCAATTGCTGAGCAAAATAACGGAACTGTCAAATTGTCGGCTTTGTAAAATAAAATAAAAATGTATACAAATGACATACAGAGTCCATGTGTGTTGTGTGTACTACCTGTGCGGTTGCCCGGTGAGCTTCGCTCCTCTCCTCCTGAAATTCGGGGAGTCCTGGGGCCGCGGCTCTGCTTCAATACCTTTATAGCAGTGGGTGTGCTCACTTGAGCCGGGATTATCTGCACAGCTGGAGACACATACGTAAAAGTAAAAGATTAATAGAATATTAATGACCAGAACAACTGTGTGCTTGGCATTTTGGATCTGACTTCATTTCATTATCTCTCATTTCTAGTAAAATAGATGGAGTTTATCCACCACGTTGTAGGTAAAGCTATTCCATCTGCAAGAAAAGGACAATTTCTCCCTTTAAATGTAATAGCTTTGTTCTAACTTGTTTTTTTAATCACTTTGTTAAGTGAAAAGGTTCACTGTGTCATGTTTCATCAGACCACAGAACCTGAGCAACTCACGACATGTCAAATCTAGTCCGCAGCCAAGTGTCTGAGGGCATTGTTAGGTTTCACGTGGTTAAGTGTTAACATTTTCAAGACCTTTAATTGCCCTCTTGGCAGATTTACACTTACGCTGATCAATGGTGACGGTAGCGTCCCCTCCAGACTGGTCCTGGCTTGCCAGCACATCTGAAATCAATAATAAAGGGATTAGTGCAAATTCTGTATCAAATTCATCGGGACTGGGTACAAACAAGTTGCAACTTTGGGCTTCATTTGACCTCTAATAATTCTTTAAAACACACCGTCAACCATCGACTGGAAATATACGTTACCCTTCTCTATCTGACTTACATTTGCGGAGGAGTTCCAGATGGCTCCAGAGTATTTCTCCGTTGGGCACTTTCTGAAGGAACTCATCCTGGTTGAATGAGCAGAGGTCTCGACCTGGAATGTGAATGCTGCCTATTTCCATTTCATCTATGTTAAACTCCTTCATTACCCACACAGCCCAGTGGATCACCTGGTCAGCTGACCAGAGCACCGGGTCTGAGGAGAGAGAGAGAGAGAGAAACCTCATTCACTAACAATCACGTCTGTTTTTCATCACATTAAGGACTGTTTTTCTGACAGTAATGTAATTTTATTAGTCTTCCTCACCATATGGTATGCCCAGGCGAACCTGCTCTTTGCGGTAGCCTTCAAGTGCTGCGGCCCAGCGTGTAACCTGCTCCGACGTCTCATCAGAAAGGCCAGATCGCTCCACAGCAATGAGCTGACCCTCCTCCACCAGAGTCCCTTCTTCTCCTGCTGCGTCTGGATCAATCACCACCTCTACTGTTTCTACTGGCTTCACAATTTCCAAAATGTTCAACTTCTCCTCACCTGCACAAGGGGGAAAAAACCCACACAAATGAGAGACGTTGATGTACGTATGTGCACATGTGAATTTGGACACAAACATCAACTGTATATTATCTGATTTTTTTAATTTTATCAGTACCCGGTTTGGTTATAATCTGCAGGCTGAGCTGCACTGTACCATCTGTCTTTACTCCCTGATCGAAGAGGCTGTGATCAGGGTGAAGCTAAAAACAAAAACACAACAGATATGCTGAATCAGAGGTAAAGACACAGCAACAAAATAATCAATCATAAGAGATCTTGATATGCTCTATTTATGTAGTGTTACCTGAATGTCCTGCAAGCAGATCTCATATGCATCCAGTGACATCTGGATACGGGGCTCCAAAAGCTTCTTCAAATTGCCAATGGGCTCATTGATGTCAATATCTTGTTGAATCAAATCTGATGCAGTGATGGTCTGCTCCTCGACACTACAGATAAAAGGTGTGTGTGTGTGGGGGGGGGGGGGGGGGGTCAGATGGGACTGTAAAATGTGTAGTTGCTGCATGGGCAAGCATATTCAATTCAAAATGACCATGACCTCTGCTTACCCTTCCTCCAGGCATGCCTGCTTCTCCCGTTCATCGATCTCAATCTCTATCATGTCTTCTGGTTCACTTTTAGACATTCTGTTTTAGGCAGTGCTAAGCTGTAGGAAAGTAATGAAAGGGATATTATTCTGCAATGTATACAGATTATAACATTTTAATCAATTAACAGTACTAAAAAACAAACGTAAAATTACACTAGTAATGTTATTGTTGATATTTTTGTTGAACACTTTACAACATAACACAAGCCAAAACCTCCATCAACAATTCCAATGATGATCAAAACATTTGAATATATATTCACAAATGCCACTAAAAGGCATCACAAAGTTTTAATCACGGATGTCTCAATAATACACAATATTTCAATATGTAGATGTGGGGTAGTGTGTTCAGGTTCCATGATGTAAATACGAAACAGCAGTTTGGGGATTTCTTTTATAAAAGGCCTCTCAGCCCCGGCTCCTCATTGGCCGTCTGGGACAGTTCACTGACTGCTCCAACTGCTAACGTTAGCCAACTCGAGGGCGAGGCTTAGGCGTCTAAAGGCCAACTGATAGGCCATTAGTTACCAAAAAGTGACTAAACATAACTGCACATCATAAACACATGTTGTAAACACACACAGAACTAAGATTTTAACAGCAGACTACACGTGTCGACACATGAAGTGGGTCTACAATGGACCAAGTTAGCTACGTGAATGCACCGCGGGGCGAGGCAGCCCGTTACACAACCGTTGGCCCCCGCGTGCTAAACAACAGTTAAAATATCCTAAAGACGCATTGCGCTTTATAACCGACACAAATCTCCGTTAAGTCACACTTTAACTCTGCACGTAGAAAACTTTTAAAACGGAAATAGAATAAACGGAAACAAAACAGCATAGGGCAAATGGAAAGGAGCCGGAAATCCTGGCTAAGGTTTACAGCGATGTAAGACTTCCGAGAGCAGCTGTGATAAATCCGACACACGCGTCCAAAGGAAAATTAACGCCACCGGAGCAACTGCGATGTCACTAATACACTGAAACAACGCTCGGTTAAACACAAACTGCATCTACACAGAGAAGTATGGACTAACGAGCCGTTTGGAAGTATACGTACTGTGTTTGTGGCTGGACGGTGGTCAGCCTCTCCGTTTCGCTGCGTCTACTCAGCTTTACTGTGTTAGCACTCAGCTAACGCCAAACTGGTATAACTCAGTTTGACCTAAAACAAAAGTAACGTTATTTCAATTTTGTAGATACCTAGAAAACAGCAGTCGAAGCGGCGGTAGCCTGCGTTAGTCTAGCTTTAGGGGAAGTTGGATAATGCTCGGAGTGTGTTTTTATGGCTGGCTTGAAGGTAGGCGGCCTCTTCCCACTAAGCTAGCTAGGAATCGACAACGGCTAGCAAGCTACAAAATAGCGGGAAGAGTCCAAGTACGACAAATACACCCCTTAACGTTACATGGCCACAATTTAGTACTTTCTTCAGAACAAGCACATATATCCTCGAAATATCCATACCTCTTAAAATTCAGGCCTTCAACAACTGTGGTGGATTAGCAGCCAAAACTCATACACAGTCGAGTCGTATCATGCAAGTTTTTAGTCACCTACACACACACTCAGGAGGGGCGGAGACTAACTGGCAAGACATTTACCCTCAAAACTTATATGGAAAATATAAAAGGTTTAGATACCATAAATGTATTACCCACACTTGAGAATAGCCACATTAATTTCATTAACTAACTTTCTGCGTTTTCTTCCATCGACTTCAGTGAGTTTTATTTTGACGTGTCTCCTGTTTTCCACAAGTAAATAAAGACTTGCAAATAAGTAAAAGTCAAATATGAGGACGATCTGTATAATTACGCCAACAGTTTGAAATCTGCCATTTTAAATATTTGCAACAGGGTGGGGATTCTAGGGGGCCCTGGAGCAAAAAGATGTGCCCCTTTTCAGCCTCCCCCTATACACAGGCTCACCAAACACATTTTGCCCAGGGTCCCAGAACCCAACCAGTTTTCCTCTGTTTAAGAATATTCACCATACTGTAAGCATACAATATTAAAGGTATACATAACCTCAATACTAGGTGAAAAGGCAGGACCACATTATGTCCCATGCTATTTTAGTTACTGCTACAGGCAATCTGGATCCTGCCCAAAGTCTCCATACCTACAGGCCTATATGAGTCTGGTTTCCTTTGTACATTATGTTTACTCATTTAGCTGACACTTTTATCTAAAGCAACTTACAATTGCTATATATATTTTTTTATATAATTGTACACCTCTGGAGACACAATGGTGGATGGGTCATAGTGGGGAATTGAACCCAGGTCTCTCATACCAAAGACATGTGTTTTATCCACTGCACCAACACCACCCCTTGTACAGTTCTTAATCCAACCCAGTGTTTTGGTAAAGGCTATGTAATAGTTATATTAATGCACATTATAATGCATATTCTTTATTTATTTGTATTTCCTTGTATGTATAAAGCTATTTTGCAATATTGGTGTTCACCTCAACAATAAACAACTGGACTAGTCCAACAATAGATGTCCTGTACAAGAAGGGCCAACTTCGTCTTCATCTGCTGAGGACACTGAGGTGCATTTGTTTGTACAGGACACTGTTAAAATCATTCTGCGACACTGTGGCAGCATGGGTCTTTTATGCAGTAAGTAGTCTGTTGGCGAGCCAGAAGCACAGAGAGGGACAGGAAAAGACTAAATACACTGGTTAAGAGGGCTAGTTCTGTCCTAGACTGCCCTCTAGACACCCTACAGGAGGCGACCTGTGCAATGTTCCATATCAGTCACATCTGTTTATAAAAAGTGTATATAACAGGTGTATATAGTGTTCAAATAAGTCTTTGCTAGCTTGTTCTTCTATTATATTTTGTATTTTTCTATTTTTGTTTAATGTGTATTGTCTTATCTGTTGTGTTTTTTCTGGAGCTGCTGCAACAAGCTAATTTCCCCAATGTGGGATCAATAAAGTCTGTCTTATCTAAAAAAGCTGATTCTGATGGGGTTGGCCACTTTGTTTGTGCAGCCTGAAGAATAGGCTAGGTGATGTTCAGTGACACATGTTGACAATGACAAAAAAAAAACGACGTGTCTACGACCAAGCTCTTCTTTCCTCCTTAATATATCCACAAAAGGGCCAAGTTTACTAAATAAATGTATCCCAAGTGGTGTAATTTGTGGTTTGTATCATTTGACAACGGGTAAGTTATATGTCTCACTTTCATGTAAGCCAAAATGTTGCTTCTGGGGATCACTAAATTCAACATAATAAAATTATATGTTAAATGCTTGAATATAAGTAGTTCCAGAAAGGCCATTTGGATCCTTTATGTGCTTGCACTGTAGCTCCCCCAAGTATTCAGGATAAAGTTAGCTTTTAATTTGCATCTATATCCAGTCACACTTGGTGGTTTCGATATAACAATGAAACATTAACATTATAAGAAAAGGCAAACAGTCTGTGTTGGTGCCACTCCTTGAAAACAGAGTCATACAGTGAAAGAATAGTAGTACAGAAGTACTTCACCTTGATCAAAGATAAAATCTCTATGTTAAAATGCAGAATTGTAACTTAATACTTTACTGCATGGTTTTACCAAATGTTTTAGAAATGTTTCTGTCATTGTTTTTACATGTTCCTGTACTCAAATGCTGATGTATTTTACATGTCATATTATTTGTGCGTCTGATTTTGTATGTGCTTATGTAATTTGTGCTTTTATGTTTTATCCATGCTCCTGTGTTGTCTGCTTATGATTACATGTGTATGTGTTTAATGCTTTCTGTATGCCATATGTTAATTTTCTTTCTTATAACATCAACCTGCAAGGGACTCCAGATGAAAATTTGTCTGTACAGCTAAATTTGGCTCATTTACATTTTGGACATAGTGCTTATGTTCATTATGTTGACTGTATGGAGTGTATATACAGTTTGAAAGCAACTCTTGTTTCGAAAGTCACGGTGGAGACGTTAATGACTGATATTTCCGGTTTGGAGGTCTTCCCTTCAAAATAAAGACCATTTTTGTTTGAAGGTAATGTAAAAATCCCAATGTAAACTGTAAACCATGGACACTTCAAAACAGTACCATTGTACAATAGGCCAACTTAAATGGTAACTTTGTCCTTAAATTATTAAAGTTTAAAATTATAGTGTGGGTGCAGAACAGGGAATGTTTTGACGTATTTATGCATTCACCAACTAAGACCTGTACAGTGACTTTTTAAATGAAAATATGAGGACATGATAGGCTAACAGGAGTATTTTGATGTATATACTGCAAACCAGTAGAACCATGAGTAGAACACAAAACTATGGATTATATCAACAATTTCCAGAGACAGTGTCAACAAAAACAATTGTCTATAATTCATCGGCATTTCCAAGGCATGCAGACCATGAACTGTTCATTGGCTAAACTTGTTTTTATTATTGTATTATTTATTTTATTAGCTTATTTGTTTTTAACAACCTCCTCTTTGCACATCAGGACTACCAGAGCACTTCAACACACTGTATCTTAACACTTGAATATAGCTGGACTGTTAAAACTAGGACTCACTCAGTGAATGCTGTAATATTTTATATTCAACTATATTTGAATGTTTAACTATTTCTATTTATGTATGTATTTAAGTTGTCTTGTAATTTTATGTATCTTGCTGCTATGCTTTTCTTATCTATCTATCTAAATGTTTAAGTATGTACGTTATAAATGGGCTTCAAAAGGGTCACATTTATTGCGAGGATATTTGATTGCATTAGATTGGCCAGGTGTGTCTAATTACTTTTTAAATGATAATATAATTTGTTTGGGTCTTCTGCAAAGATTCAGATTCAGTAGCTATATGTTTGAGAAGATTATACTGAAGGAGCTGGGACGGAAGTCTTGTCGCCGTTGCTGCCGGTTGAGCACAGGCGAGCCAAGATGGCAGAGTACCTGGCCTCCATTTTTGGGACAGAGAAAGATAAGTAAGTAATTAACGTTTATTCAGTTAACCGAAAAGCAGTTTTTCGCGTACGGTTTCCTCCCAATCCTGCTTCGACTCGTAATACTATATCTAGTGGAGTTTGCAGTTTGTAGCTGGGAACGTTACCCTGGCTTTAGCAGCTAACAGCTAGTGCTAGCATGCTAACGTTAGTAAAATACCACGCCGCCACTGTTAGCTACTGCAACGTCTAGGTGCTGAACGGTGCTGGGATGGCCAGGAAACAGCCGCCACAATCAATGACCTATTATGAATGAATTAAAATAGAATCACTTTATTAATTAAACTCGACTTAAAGTGATATACTAGCTAACGACCACCGAGCACTGAGTTAGCTAATTAGCCAATGCTAGTTACTTTCTGAAACCCGTAGTCTTTGTTACAGCGGGAAATACACCAGCTAAGCTAACATTAGCTTCTCACTGTGTTTTTAGGCAAGTAGATTGTTTCCTAGCCCTCTTCCATCATCGTTTTGGGAAGTGAATTAATAGTAACACTGATGAATGAGAGCAGGTGTACATCTGCTCAATGCGCCCTGTAACGTCTTTTTGCTCTTTTTAAAACCTTTTTATTTATGTTTATTAACATCCACTTAGCACTTGTCTTTCTCTTCTAGCAAACGGCAGTTGTTTTTAGGAGTTCCTGCCAAGCCCTTAAGAAAACCCAGACACTAAACTTTTGTACAACTTTTACGAAAATTGTAATCATTTAAATTGGTTTTGGTAAACCCCGTATTGAAAGGGTAATGGTGACATCTTTTTTTCTTTGGTTCACTCTTTCTTTTAATCACACTGAAAATAACGTTAACGACCATCTCAATTCATGCATTTTCTTATTTATAAATACATTTCTGTTTAATGTCAGGTTGCATGTTTAACTAGATGTATACATCAAGCTATGAAACATTGTCAGGAGTGATGTTTGTAAGTCACACCTTGCAGACCCAATGCTGTGGACTCTCATAACACATTACAATGGAGAATTAATTTTGCACATTTTTTTCAGTCCTAACATTTGTTGAGGACAGTTTTGTTCGTGTTGTCAAGAAATAATTGTAGTATAAGAAAGAATTGGAATATTGTGTAGGTCTTCAAGTCCCATGAGAACAGATTCCAACATGATGACAAAGTCAAGAGTATTATGTTTTCATGTTTACTGTATTACATCTTCATTATTTGTCTTTTTTCCTTAGGGTCAACTGCTCCTTTTATTTTAAAATTGGTGCCTGTCGACATGGTGACCGCTGCTCCAGATTACACAATAAGCCGACATTCAGCCAGGTATGATCTTCCTTTGTCTTACAAAATGTCCTAATAATGATAAACAGATAAGGGAAAGGGCATGTCTACCGTTTAGTGTAAGGGCTTTACAAATAAAATTTACTTGACTTCACTTGAACTAGTTGCAAGTTTAATCTGTGATGCTCACTCCTTGTTATATGTCATACCCATCTTTCAATCCTCTAATACCAGACGACGGCGACAACAACAGGGCAGGGATGAAACTCAGAAATTGCATACCAGTAATATTTACACTAATGAAGCACTAAAAAGTTGTGCTTTTTCTGCATACCCTTATTGTCTGCAATTTGTACTGACATGCACATTACGGTTGATAAAT